CAGCCTCACAAACCCTATAGAGAATCGCTATGAGTTGGAAACATTTGATGGCACTGAGGTTCGTATTATAACTGACTGAACACGTTATCTTTAGAAAGATCCTACTTTTCTAAAATTAAATTTTGTTTAATTTTTAGACAATATAACTTTCTCTAACCACTGTGTTATGGAGATTTAAAATAAACAGATAAGAGACAGAGTTACCTTCTTTCCTGTCACTCTTTCCCATAAGAAAATCTTCTGTGTAAGGTGTCATATCCAAACGTAACGGGAAGGAAAAGTGTGTGTTCACTTTCTCTTTCATCATCGTAACCATGTTAAATGTATATCGCATAGTATTGAAACTCAGAATACGAGGCAATTTCTTAAAACATGCCCTACAAGACAAAATTTATTATAAAACAATGGTAAAAAAAATTATCTCAGAACAATTTTATTTGATTTCTTTTTTTATTTAAACCATACAGCTTAAAGGAAATGATACTACTGTCAATCACATCTACTGAAATTATACACACTTTCTCACATGACTTTCTCCATTTTTAAAAAGCGTTTCTGCATCTAATCAGAGGGGAGGGAAGGCAGTAGGTTGTGGTAAATACTACAATAATATATGCAAAAGGAGCTACAGAAGCATAAGAAGGTCAACATCATAAACTCTATAGAGCAGTGGTTCTCCACCTTCCTCATGCTGGGACCCTTTAATACAGGTCCTCATGTGGTGTCGACCCTCCAACCATAAAATTATTTTCGTTGCTACTTCATAACTTTAATTTTGCTACTGTTCTGAATTGGGCGACCCCTGTGAAAGAGTCGTTTGACCCCCAAAGGGGTCATGACCAACAGGTTGAGAAAGGCTGCTCTAGAGCCAAGGAAATCTCTGGATAATCCCCCACCCCACCTACCCTCTTCTTTAAATAATAAAGGTCCAAGTATTTACTTTTGTTAATTAGAAACACAAGTTTGGTTATCGTTTATTGGCTGTTTGAATGACTTTAAGCAAGTTACTTAACTTTTCTAATTTGTAACACGGAGATTGGAGTACCCCATACTGCATGGCCAACAGATAGCAGTCACCAAGTGCTGCCTACCACTTGTGCAGCACAACAGCAAAGCTATGCAGTGGTTATCAAAATCTTATGGTATAGCATATTTGTAGCTCAAGCTTATAAAACAAAATCTCATTATAAATGAAACTTATGCTAAAATGCGGTTTAAAAATGTAAAGGAGTAAGTTTCCACTGGTCATAACAATATGAAAATAATAAACTAACCTTTTTTTAAATCAAGAGATAAATTTTTCAAGAACAGAAACTTAAAGAGACTTACAAATGGGTGGAAAGAATACTACCAGCAGAGAAATGTTACATCATGTTTTTGGAGGGAGACTGAAAATTGATGAACTTTAGAAATGAAGTAAACAAAAATCTTCAGTGTGATGTTCGAATATTTTTACCCTGAGAACTGTGAAGAGTGCCCCTAACAGGCAGAACCATTCACTGAATTAGAATGCAGAAAATAATTTGGGGGGGGGGGGGCCTGTAAAAAGTTTGTGAAAAAATCTAATTAAAAGATAGTGAGATATTCCCCCACAACGTTTTGAAGTCCCGTTATAGATCTAGGGTGGCTATAGCATAAGTTTTGGTTCTACGGATCTAATGACTTTGTGAGCAATACACGAAAGACCATTGGCAAACACAGAAAAACATTCTGAATGAGGTTAAGACATTTGGGGAAGCATGATGGTAGAAGTTGTTATTCCAGAAAAATGACTAAAAAGAGGAAGTGATACCAAGGGCTCAGGTAGAAAGAAAATATTTTCAAAATGATGGTTGTAGCATATGTACATAAAGTGTGCTCAATACAACTGAATTATGGATTTTTTTTTTCTACTTCGCTTTATTGACCAGAAGTCAGCCTGAGTACTGTCCCGCCCACAGCCTTTCAGTCACTAGCTCCTTAAAGTGGTGTTCCCAGCCCTGATACCTTCCTCTTGCTGCTCCTAACTGGGCCTGAAGGGATTCGGAGTGGGATATGGCCAAAGGCAGGTGCAGGTGAAGTAGAAGGGGTGAGGTCCTTGGTTGGCAGGAGGGCCTCCAAGGGCTAGATGGCAAGGGAAGGGATGTTCAGAGAAGGGTGAGGCTGTGGCTGCTGCCCTCTCCATCTGAGTGGCAAGCAGGCCTGGGTGGAACAGGGTGCTGGCCGGGGCAGTGGAGAGTTGGGAGTGAAGCTGCCCACCCCAGGGTTAGGGTTAGCTCTAGCTACCCCACGATGTGGGCCCCTGATGGCGAGTGTGTCCCTAATGAAACTAGATACCTGGGAGGGGGTGGGTCAAGTGACATCCTGACTTTGGGGACCTCAAACTTAGTTGTCTCCTCCAACCTGAAGGAGGACCCCGTGAGTTTCACACAGACTCAAAGGCTAGGGGCCTGGGGAAGCCAGTGGCTCCTTGGCCTATGACCCAGTCTGCACCTTCTCTCCCTCTTTCTAAGGACTCCCGGAGCTGGGACTCCCAGGCCTGCTTGAGGGAAAGAGCCCACCCTCTTTCCCACAGAAGAGACATGCAGGAATTCACTCAAGCATATACTGCTCCCACCCCCCACCCCCTCCGGGCCCTTTCCTCCCCCTTGGGGTCTGCTGCTGCTCTTCTGGGCCCCAGGATGGTGGCTCGGGGTCTTGGCCAGTTGATGATGGGCACTCACCCTATGAGGCTAAGACAGAGTAGGGGGAGAGGGCCTGGTCCTACTAGACTCAGAAACATCAAGGCCTCCTGAAGGCAATGTCATCAGATCCCCGGCAGGCAGGGGGAGCCACTTGGTGGTGCTGGGGCCTTAGGTGGACACACAAACCAACTGGAGCCAGAAGGCCAAGTATGAGTCATTAGTGATGTGTGTCAGGGCTGAGAAGGGCCTTGTCTGAGGGATCTGAGGTCTCCCAGGCTGCTGGGCAAGGGATGGAGATGCAAAGCACGGAGTGGGCAGCAGGGGGCAGCAGCGGCATCACTCAGAGTGGACCAAGGATTGTCCAAAGCCAAAGCCCTTGGGCCCGAAGTTTTTAGCATAGCATCCTTTGCAGTAAATCTCGCCAGAGTGGTTAACTCAAGGCTCTTGCCACTCCGGAAACAGGACTTGTGCCAGGACTTCCCGGTGCCAATCACCTCCGCAGCACAGACAGCCTGACTGCAGCGGGGACAGCACTCCGAACCACCAATTTTCTGGGGAAACTTGGACGCGTTGGGGTTGCTGGTGGGCCTGTGGCCAGGGGCCTCCTCATGCTTAATGCCCAGCGACTCCTTGTCAGTGCTCAGCGTGCCTGCGCCCTGGCCGTAGCCGTAGCCTTTGGGCCCATACTTCTTGCCGTAGCAGGACTTGCCGTGCACAGCCACGGTGGTACTGTCCAGGTTTTTCTTGCAGACCATGCACAGGAAGCAGGATTTATGGAAGCTACTGCCTTCGCACTGAACCTCTTCGGCAAAGTAGACCGTCTTCTGGCACACCCCACACTTCTTGCCTCCTCCCCAGTTCGGATCCTGGCAGCGGGCTCGGGCAGGCAGGCGAGGCTCTCGGAAGCAGCGGCTCGAATTATGGATTGTTAAAAAGATCTTTAAGAACCCTCCAATAAATTGATTAATAAAATTTTAAAAAATAAGGACTAGACTGGGACATCCAGTGTTTGAAGGGAAGATCATCTTGCTGAGGATAATCAACAGTTTTCTTCACTTCAATCAATTTCTGTTGAACATTTAATATGCTAAAAGCACAAAGAATTAAAAAACTATGTTACCTGGGAGAGATACAATGGGCATCTCAGAGAAACAGAGTCCAATTAAACAAAAAAGGAATGTTTCAAGAACTAGGGAGCTATCAAAATAGTCTTTATTCAGTAAGTTTGTCTAACTAGAAAGAGATTCTACAAAGAATTTAGGTCTATCAATGATCTTTTATTAGTTACGTTATTTATAATCTACACAGTAGATTAGCTCCTAACTCTTACCTACCCCACCAACTGTCATCAGTAAAATTTGTCTTCTCCCCATCACTGCCAGCAGGTAGCTTTTCATTTGAATGTTGACCTACAATTCTTCTCTTGCAAACTACCGGACTTCTTGAGTCTGTGAAAAAGAATACCACTTCATTCCAGTGGGAAACTAGCATCTCACTGTATAATGCCTTTGATTATCCGTGTTCAAACGTACTCAGATCTTTCACCTAGAAAATTCCTTTGATCTCAAAGTTATTTTTGGTTCCATCTTTTGAATAAATTTTAATTTCTAAATTTCTAAAATAAATGGTTGTACAGTGAACCCTCGTTTATCACGGTTAATCGGTTCTAACCCTACCGTGATAAATGAAATTCCGCGAAGTAGGATTCCTTATTTGTAAATCAAATATTTTCGTAGTTAGAGCATAGAGGACATGAAAAAACACCCTTTAGTCACCATTACACTCGTATTACCCAATTTATTAAATGAAGGAGGCCTTCAGGGAAATGATTTTATAGTCAGGTTTGGAAGGTACAATAGACATAACTGGTGGCCCCCACAAAAAGGAAAAAAAATCCCTAAATGAGAAAATCACAGTTGGAGGGATGAATGAAACGTATAGGAACCAGTAACCAGCAGGAAAATGGTTAACAACCAAAGCCAATATTTCACAGGCTTGAATAAACTGGTGCTTGTCCCTTCTCCTCGAGATATAACTTGACTTGGGGGATGAAGCACTCGTGGAACCATTCCAAAGTCAGCTGCTTCGTGATCCAACCTTTGTTGCTGTGCATCCAATGCACTGGTAGCAGGTTCTTATTCTTGTTTTTTAGGGCTCTAGGATTCTTGGCCTTGTAGATAAGGGCCGGCTTGAGCAAAAATCCCTCAGCATTTCCACAAATAACGAGAGCGACTCGATCCTTATAAGCCTTGAAGCCACGGACCTTGGTTTCATCCTTAAAAATAAATGTTCTGGAAGGCATTCTTTTCCAGAACAGTCCTGTTTCGTCCATATTGAACACCTGCTCAGGATGATACTTGCCCTCCTCAAGGATCTTCTGGAAAGTATTGCTCACGTAGTCCTCTGCTGCAGGCTGATCAGCTGAGGCAGCTTTTCCGTGAAGAACGACACTCTGCAGTTGATACCTCTTCTGGAACTTTTCGAACCAACCCTTTCTCGCTGTAAAATCCACGAACGTTGCAGAAGAGGATTCTGGTTGAGGTCTGTCTGCTGTAAAACACTGATAGAGCTGCCTTGCCTTCTCCCAGATGACTATCGAATCCAACGGAATGTTTTTCTTGCGCCTGTCATTGATCCAAACGGCTAGGACAGACTCCTTTTTTTACTATGAACTTATTACGACTTGTCACGATGCGCTTTGCTTCCTTGTTGAAAGTGAAAGTAGCCGCAGCACGGATGTTTTTGTCCTCTTTACGGATGGAGCGAACGGAAGACTCATTCAAGTTGAAATGGCGTGCAACCTCCACGATTTTCTTGTCATCTTTGATCATATCCAAAAGTTTTACCTTTTCCTGGATGTTGAGCATCTTCCTCTGGCGCTTATTTTTATTGTCAGAAGGCTTAGAAGAAGCAGCTCGTTTAGGAGCCATCATAGGGCTTAGATAAAATTTCTTAAAAATCGCAAACAATTACAGTACACTGTACAAAAGCAAAAATGCATCTGATACGTAGCTCCGATACGCAGCGATGAAGACAGAAGTGTGTACAGTATGAGCCAATCAGTGGCAGTAATGACAGAGCATGCGCTGTTACGCAAAAACCGCGATACAGTGAAGCCACGGAAGTCGAAACGCCGCGAAGTGGCGAGGATTCACTGTACTCCATTCTGATGCTATCTACTCTAGTTGATTATGGTTCAGGATGCTATCACTATTAAACTACCTTCTTGAAAGCTGTCTCTTTCATCTCTGTGAATGACTAATTCCTTAATTGCTACTCTCTGTTTCTGGGTCACCAACGTACTACCCTCAATATAAAGAATACCAAAATCCTTACAATGGGACCAATAGGTAACATGGAGAAAAGACTGAACTTGTCAAGGATTTTGTCTTGTTTGGATCAATGCTCATAGAAGCAACAGTCAAGAGATCAAAAGACAAATAAGTTGAAATGGGTAAATCTGCTGAAAATGACCTCTTTAGTGTGTTGAAAAGGAAGGATGTTACTTTCAGGAGTAGGATGTGCCCTCATATTTATGTGACAGTTGGATACTGAATAAGGAAGACCCAAGAAGAATCGCATTTGAATTGTGGCGCTGGAAAAGAATATTGAAAGTGCTGTGGGTAGCCAAAAAGACAAACAAGTCTGTCTTGGAAGGAGTTCAACCAGAATGCTCCTTAGAGGCAAGGATGTCAGAGACTGCGTCTTATATATTGTGGACACACTGCCAGGAGAAACTAGTCTCTGCAGAAGGACATGATGCTTATTAGTACAGTACAGGGGCAAGTGAAAATGAGGAAGGCCCTCAATGGATGGACGGACACAGTGGCGGTAACAAGGGGCTGTCAAAAGAACAATTGTGAAGATGGCCCCGACAGGCAGCATTTCATTCTCTTGTACACGGGGTCACTATAGTTTGGAACTGATTTGATGGCACCTCACAATTACAACACCTACTTATCCCGATTTTGTTTCTGGTTTCTTTCTGTTGCCTTTTCCTAAACAACCTTCTGTTGGCTTGGGCCTCAACCTTTACAACTTAACTATTCTTTCACGCACACAGCGGGTAGCTTCGATCAATTTTGCAGATAATCCTGACATTTTGGCTTTAAAGATTTGATATAATTGTAGGTAACCAATCGTGTTTTCCAGTACTGGTCAACGCAAAACTACTTCATGCAGGCTGACTTCAAAACTGGATTTATTTGACCACATAGGATCATTCTCTATGCGTTTACTCCTAGTGACTACCTGTATAACATGCTCTTTAAATCCAGTATCATTTAGGTTCACCTACACAACTGAAACATATCCATCCAACTACTCCTTTCTAACTGGTCACTTTATGGCTCTTTGAAAAAAGAGAACCTGTAAGACGTTCAGGGGAGGCTACTTTCCCAATTCACCCGTAAACTCATACTCCACTGAGTACATAGCAGAGAATGAACTAAAAAGGAAAAAAACACTTGGAAAAATTTAGCATTCTTAAAAAATTTTTTTTGTATTACGTACAAATTATTTTTTTTAATTTATTTTTGTGATCCAAGTGAGTTTTATGAAAGTTAGAAGTAGTTTCAGGTTTTTCAGTAAATGGAACACAAGCCAGAGTCTGTGGCATGGTGGCGGGATGCTGCACAGCTGCATGGGGCTGTACAGCCCGGT